GTGTCGCTATGACGTTAACACCATAAACTGTAAGCCCAGGAGAAACAGCACAACTGCTTATGCGTCAGCCACTCCCGCTGTAGTAAAACCAACAGGGTCAGAAGGACTATTTGGTTATGGAACGGAAGATGAAAAAGGAAAAACCGAATTTTTTTTGGTATTGATTTGTGTTTCGGTCGTTTTGGCTGTCAGTATTGTGATTGGCTTTCTGTACGTAAGCCATCGAAAAACCCAATTCCTGCTTCATTCAGGCTGGAAGAAGTCTTTTGACGACAGCAATGGTAAGTGGGGGATTTTCGTGATTGAAAATTTTGTGCGGCGATTTTCTTAGGGTTGCGGGTTAGTTTTAAGGTTTAGTGCAGGCACTGTCCAGGGTCTTTTTAGTCTCCTGTATTATGTCATAGCACTGGCAAGGTCATAGCAAGGTGTAGAGCACTCTCGACCCGTGATGCTTTGGTTACCATTATGGATTCCGTGAAGAGAGGTTGCACATTCTTGGCGATTATTAAATATTTGTGGAAAAGAAATTGTAAATGATGGGAAGCAAAAAGCCTAATTGACGCAGCCAGAAGCAACTAATTAACCATTATTGGACGAAGTTGAGCAAAACATCGTGATTTGTTAGTGGCGAGCAGATCAATCATCAATTATTTGCTTCAGTCTTCGGCTTCGCCAAATAATTGATCTGCGAGACACTGACAAATCACGATATTTTGCGATAACCGAGTTCAATAATTGTTTTATCATTCGATCACCGAGCCTTTTTTTTAATGAATAAACTCATGTATTGGAAGTGATCTGCCATTTTCAAGCAAGAGCGATCGCACTAAGGAGAAAAGCGTGGTTACGCACGAGCAGAATATTATTTGCAGCCAAACACAGTTGGACGACATTGCGCATGAGCAGACCATTATTTGTAGGCAGTTATTTGCAGGTCATTTGGTGGGATTTCGGCCAATGAAAAGGAAGAAAAGTTTACGTCGAATTATGAACGCGATTTTTAGTACATTTTTAAACATGTGTCTATTACTTTCCTTAAATCAAATTTCGACCTGTTGCAGGTATTCAAGAAAATGTTGCTGGTATTCCACCACTGTTAGTTGTGTTGGAGAGAAAGCCCGGTGCATGATGGTCAAGAAGCCTCGGAACACCAGAGACAGAGGGATGGTGATGGCTGTCTGCTCCTCAGTGACTTGAAGTCTTCGAAAGCGAGAAAATCTTGCTTTCAACAGTTATTTATATCTGGGTGATTGAAAACTCTTTGCCGGATTCATTTGTAGCCTGAGAAAACAGACGACATTTCGCGACGCCACCACTGGTTTCACGCGAAATGACGTCTGAGAAACGAGCGCAGAAATCCCATACTGATGACGCATCACTACCCAGACATGGGTACTGCTTCTGATTGGTCGTGTAGTTCGTGAAATTTGCTTCAACCAATCAGAAGCACTTCCCAGATCTGGGTAGTGACGCGTCATCAGAAGGAATTTCTGCGCTCGTTTCTCACACGTCTTTTCGCGGGGAAACAGTTGGTGCCGTCTCGAAATGTCGTCCTGTTTTCTCATGCTAATTCATTCAGAGAAAGGGGTTTTTCGCCTTTCATAGTAATTGTCTTTATAGCGGCTGGTATTTATAGTCAAACCAGGTCAAGCGTACCCCCCAAGAATCCATTAATGAATTTATTATTTGAAAGTTGAATCCGTTGCTAGTTGTAGATTTCAGATTGATTTCTGCATTCTTGCATGCGTAATGAGCTGTGAATTCACACGCGACGCAGTTATGAAATTTCTACCAGCTCAGTTTTCCGAATTTGATGTAAATGTCTTCTAAGAAACTTAATCCATTCAAAGTTTTTCAATCTGACCAAATGCAGAGAAGGTCTCGTAAAATATTTACTGCTCATGATCATTACGCATGCAGAAATGCCGCTTTGAATTTGACACCAGTTAGGGGAACGACTAACGGCTTCATTTTTCAAATAATCAATTCATTAATAGGATCTTGGGGGGTACGCTTGACCTGCCTTGACTGTAAGTGTAAAAGCATTTTAGTTTATCATTTGTTTCAGTGGAATTTTTCCAAATAAACGGAAACTTTTAGGCCAGGCATTTTAGCTGTCCCGGTCATGCTACCTCACACGAAATAACGGCTAAACGAACGAAAGCCCCATCTTTTGCTAAGTATTGGTAAATATTCTGATTTCATAACAGTTGAGTGACTATGCATTTTCAAGATGAGAGCTTTTGCATTTGAAAATAAAATTGAAGGTCAATAACGGGTTCTCAGAGAGAAGGTAAGCAATACTAACGCACAAATAAAACTCAGTGCGGCAAAAAGGCAAAGGGTTAAGTTCCACTGGAACCTCTATTGGGAAAACAAAACATACAAGCTAAAGAGGTCTATTGTTCGCTGAATTCAGCGTTTATTAGTAACTTCATTTATTGTCATCGTCGTTGCTACCTAAAGTCAATTTTATTGCTTTTTTTTCAGTCTGACCAAACAACGCTTTGCAAAGGTGTTTTTCAATTTATTTATGAATGCATGACAAAAAAGATAAAAAGTGAAGTTCTT